GAGAGAAAAAGTGGCAATCTGAACATAGCATGGGGAGGCATTGCCTTATTTGTGACTCCCACTCACCTTTGTTTTTTGGACTTAAACAAAATCCTCTACTACTGATGCTGCTAATGAGTTTAAGAAATGGCAGCTAGCAAGTGTGTTCTTTCCTGGCTCCACCAGGCAAGACTGCTGTGAGTTTGTCTTTTTCACATGAGCAGCTTATGTTCTTATTGGGAGAGCAATTCACCCCACTTTTTCAGCTCCCCTTGTAGACTCTACTGTGGGCATACTTACCCAATGTACGCCTCTGGGAAATTCCTTAGATTAAAACTCAACATACTGAGGTACTGAGATGATTTGTGTCTTATTTGTAGCTCTTTATGTACTCCATTACAGAGATGGGAAAAGTTATGATTTTTAAACTACAACTACTACACACAGCCAATATGACCACTGCCACACTGGCAACAGGATTCTGGGAGTTTTAGGGTATTTCCCTAAAAAAAAGGTATTTCCTATCTCTGTTCTACCACCTTCTTTCCCCAAGCAATTACGTGTGATGAAGCACTGATAAGTTCAGCAGCAGTGTGCAGAATAACACCTTGAGGCCTGAAGGTGATGGAGGATCCTATTAACTGTCTAGGGAGGGCAGAAGATTTCCATCTGTTTATCTCCAACAAAAAACTTGGCAGTGCAAAAAAGACTTATTTTAAAATGTCCCTTACCACCATGTTGTGGTGGATCAAACTTAAGTAGAAAATCATATTTCCATCATTCCTTCCTACAATATACCTTCCTTATACTGTACTCAGCTGCCACCATACACTTAATTTTATTTATACTCTTGGTGTCTTTAAATAAGCACGAAACAAAAATACAGTAAACAATTAAAAAGAGAGATCTATAAAAGGTTAAATTAAATATACATTTATTATTACACAATTATATACTTATTTCTAAAGTAACTGTCTCTTAAATAACATTCACGCCATCAGCATTTTATATGATTTTAAATTTAAGTAAGAGGTTTTGTGCCTTAATTCTGTTTCCTAATGGAACATTAGTATTTACCTTTTATTCTTGTGAATTAAATAGAGAATTTGGAATAGAAATAATGGTTTTTAAATTCCCAAAATATGAAGGAAATGGGTAACATAGTTGACTTTACCTATGGATGCCTCCATCAAGAGTTTAAGCAGATGAAATATATATATTTCATCTGCTTAAAGTCTTGATGGAGGCATCCATATGTCTTGCTCATTTATGATGCTTTGTTCATAGAATACTCTCTCCAAGGAAGCTTACTTGGTTTTGATATTATCTTTCTCCCCAAGCATTTTAGATTTTCAGATTTTATGGTTGCTCTTATACACAACCTACATGCAATGTTTGTTTTATTTATACTACAGTTATTTCAATGAGCATTATTTTTATAAGCCCTCTGGAGAACTTCTACTATTCAGTTGTTTAAAAATGTAGGCTTAAATCCAGTTGCTAGTACCATCTAGACCAGACGTACTGAACCAATGGGATTTGAATAGGTATTCATTTACCATTCAGTAATTGATTCTGTGGGTTTGCTTGGGAAAGGAGTAGCCATTGGATTGAGACAAGAACAAATTAAATTAATTAAGAATGAGAGAAAGAACTGAAAAGCAGGATTAAAAATAATACAAAATGTATATTAATGCCCCCCCCCGCCCAAAGAGAGAGTTTGTATTCAGGTCTGGCTACTATGACATCCTTACCAGAAATGAGACACAGAATTGACCTTCAAGAATTCAGTAATATGAAGAATTCATATACCCTGGCTGATACCCAAATCTGTTACCTTGGCTACTGTTACCAGGATCTTAAAAGCACAGATCCTCACCATAGTCATCCAGATCTATTTTATAAATCCTCATCCTCTTAGAAATGGATCTATAAAACACAATGATTAGGAAGAAGAACCTGGCATAGAGATGAGATATGAAATGCGTTAGATTACACAGAATGGTTAATTGGTCTACGTTAGAGAAAGAAAAACAGCAACAGCAACATCAAAATCCAAGTATCTGGCCAGACAAACTGATGGTTACCTAGTTGCAGATGTTTACTGTCCACTGCTGTTGGCATAGAGATAGGATATGCTGAGTGAAAACATGGTTTTAATGTCATGTATGACAACACAAACAGGGTAAGCTTGAGGTCTTGGCTGAGTGAGAATGAAACTTTGGTTGCAATGAAAGTAGCTGATGCACATATATGTTTCAATGTATTTTTCTCTAATGAAATTACATCCACGGTCTCACTTAAAATAACTCCATGGTAGCTGTAACAGCAAAATAGCAACATAGGTAAAGATTTCCCTTGACATTTAGTCCAGTCGTGTCTGACTCTAGGGCGCGGTGCTCATCCCCGTTTCGAAGCCGTAGAGCCAGCGTTTTGCCCATAGACAGTTTCCGTGGTCATGTGGCCAGTGCGACTAGACATGGAATGCCGTTACTTTCCCACTGAGATGGTACCTGTTTATCTACTCGCATTTGCATGCTTTCAAACTGGGAGCTCACTCCGTCGCGAAAACTGCTAGGTTGGCAGGAGCTGGAACTAGTGATGGGAGCTCACTCCGTCACGAGGATTTGATTTTACAACTGCTTGGTCTTCTGACCTTGCAGCACAGAAGCTTCTGCAGTTTAACCTGCAGTACCACCACGTCCCTTAAAATAGGAACATAGCCAGTCCATTTTAATGGATATTTTATTATATTTTAAGGGTATGATTTTTGACTTATTTTTAACTTTTTAAAAATAAGGTTTATAAGTTGCCTTGAGCTGTAGTCTTCAGTGGATAGAGTAGAGATGTAGAAAATAATAATTCTTAGCAGAAACACCAAACTGGATGCTAACATAATGGGGACAGTTTCTGGAACCAAACACCTTTCATTTGTTGGATCAAAGAGATGGAAGCTAAGTATGTAAAGACACATGTTTTCAGCAATTATTGCTGAATGAGAATGCAGCAATGACCTTCTGCTTGCAGAGCATGTCAACATTCTACAAGGTAATTCTAAAAATGAGGGCAGCCCAAGCCAAAAATTTAAACTACCGTAAGCTTCAGATCAGCTCCAAATTTTGGCTGGCTCTACCTAGAATGAGTTTGGAAATTGGAAGATAGTTTTCTAGTCTGGATTCTGCAGATCAGGCATGGCAACATTAGTTTACCTGAGAGGTTAAAAGGTGTGTATATTTCTGTTTTATCTCCTGTACTTATTCACACCTTCACCATTTCATTAGATCCAAAAACTGTCCTTCAAAATATTTTGGCACAGGGAACTGCAGCCACATCCCAAAGCAAAAGCAAAGCAAAGTATACCACCCATAGTGCTTAAAGAACTCTTTGAGCAGTTTATATTTTAATTATGAAGGCTACATATCCCCCACCCCCAAGCAGCCTGGGTATGCAATTTACTGACCTTGGAAGGCTGAGTAATCCTCAAACCAGCTACCTGCAATTGAAATTTTGGCACAGGGAACTGCAGCCACATCCCAAAGCAAAAGCAAAGCAAAGTATACCACCCATAGTGCTTAAAGAACTCTTTGAGCAGTTTATATTTTAATTATGAAGGCTACATATCCCCCACCCCCAAGCAGCCTGGGTATGCAATTTACTGACCTTGGAAGGCTGAGTAAACCTCAAACCAGCTACCTGCAATTGACCCTGGGCAGTGACCAGAGTGTTGGTTGCAGTACTGCAGTTTAACCACTGCACCAGGAGGCTCATCAGCTGCCCTTGGTTTTGTCCTCCCCAACCAACTATAGTACAGATCATGTCCTCGTCTTCTGGGATCCTTTAGCACTGGATAATTTCACATAAGTGAAGATGCTGTAGAAATTTGTGTGTACTGTGTCCATACTTAAATTTCCATTTTAAAATGTTAAGAAAACCAATTCTTCAAAAATGCTCTAGTTATGAATGTGGAACACTATGCTTCTGTATCCATGATTCAAAACACCAAGAAATGGCTAGATATGGCTGCTCAGTAGTGAGCCCACATTGCCAGGAGCCTTGGGCAGGCCTATGTTGCCTTTGGCAAGCAGCAGAGTTCCAGAGCGCCCCAGAGCACATGGGAACTACTTCTGAGTATTCTGTACCTAGAAAACTCTGAAAAGAATCACCAAAAGTTGGAATCGACTTGACAGCACACAATTATTACTGTTACGAATTTGTGATTGCCAAAATCTCTTGTCCTCAACAGCCTGTCCAGCTCTTGCAAAGTCAAGACAGTGGGTTCCTTTATTGAGTCAATCCATCTCATATTTGATCTTACTCTTTTCCTCTTCTTTTCAACTTTTCCCAGCCTTACGGTCTCTTCTAGTGAGTCTTGTCTTCTCATGAGATGCCTGCTCTAATTTAGTCACTTCTGCTAAACAGACATTGCTTTAATATAATTTGAGCTAGTTTTGTACACACACAGGAGTTTCCAATGCTCACATACAATCATGCTGAGAACATGCAGTTCCTCATCCCCAACTACCCTGGCCCTAAGATTTCAACCCCTGGAGTGCAATCTCCTGGGAAGCCTGATACTCAGTACTGTATTCAACTTTTTGATTTTAGAAAGGACATGATATTGCTTAGGCCTAGAAATGAAAGTGAGAGCTGCTGCCTCCTTTTCTTCTCAGCAAGGCTCTTTACAGTTGCACTTTAAAGGCAGATATTCCATGGGACAATGTTGTTCATTACTGTACTTGCTAAACGTCTGCCTATCGTGCTGCAGCTCTTAAAGGACTTTCATCCGTGTGGGCTCAAATTATGTATCTCCAAAACAACACATGAAGAAGGTTCCAAAGGCACTCGACACAGAAGCGGGCACAGCATCTTAGCTTGGGGACCCGGGCAAGAGAGAACCAGCGTCTCCACATGGGGGGGGGGAATCGTAACGTTTTCCCCTTTCTCTCACGTGTATTCATCGCAGAGTAGGAAGGTTTAACGCGAGCACAGCTGAGGCTCCCTCCCTTGGCAGCTTTAGGCGAAAACGCGAAGCAAAATGATCCGGCGGGGAAGCGGAACCTTAGCGTCGCGACCGTTGTTTCCGGAGGGCGTCGAATGTTGGTGCTCCCCTCTCGCCGGATTGTTGGAAAGAAGCAAAGGGAGCGAAAGCGGCGATGGCTTCTGCCTGGGTCGCTCGTGGTCTGCGGAGAGGCTGGAGCCGGAGTGAGTGTGCCAGGGAAATGCAGGGACGGGATTAGGCCTTTGAAGGGTGCGGAGACTTGGCTCAGCTTGGATCTTGTTAAGGGACGATTACAGGCCCTGCCCTTCATATGTGCGTTTCAGACCTTAATTTCCCAAGTGAGGACCCTGTAAGTCTTCTGCGTACCCGTCAAAAAGGTCTCCCTGAAAGAATAATCCCCGACATGTTGCTCCTGGCTCCTCGTTTGTATTGTGGGCGAAGGGCGGGCCATTTTCGCGTGACCAAGAACCGCTTGGGTTTCGGATGATGTACGTTTTCGAGGCTTTGAGCGGGAGTTTACATTTGGATTCGGTCTCTCCGAACTCAAGGGCCAGTTGTGTAGTCGGTGGCGTGTTCCCCAATCCAGAAGTTTTTCGATTTTGAAAGTATAGCTGGGTGCTATATACGCTAAGGAGTATTCTTTTATTAATTACCAGTAGCAAAAATAGCGATGTTGACTGGTCTGCCCTCCATTTGGAGTGTTATGTGTTGATGCTACTTCTATCCTTGCATTGTGCACGAGAGCTGCTAATGTAATCAGTGGATATGCTTTCAGTATCCCCCCTCCGCTTTTAATGTATTAGTTACCGTATAATGCTAACCTCCAAAAATTGCATGATTGTGTGCTCCTTAAACATGTTTTCCTCCTATTCTTTCCTAACAATTCATATTTCACATATTTGGAGGACCTCAGGAGTAACTGATCTCTCTCTCTTTAATTTTAATTTTATTCAAATCAGTGAAGCTTGCTTCAAATTAAATGTGACCAGGAACTAGAGTTTTGTCCATTAAGAAGAAGCAATACACTGTTTAATGAGACTTCTTTTATTTCCAGGGTTTGTTTCAACAGCTCCTGCTTCTCAACTCTCAACGGCCAAGATTGCTCAGATGCGCAATGAGCTATTCACTAAAGAGAAAGAGAGACAATTGTCTCTTTATCCACGAATTGAGAAAATTGAAGTAAAATATGTTGGTGTATCTCACCCAGGCACATTGTTTATAATGAACAAAGGGCTTTCCACTCCATACAGTTGTGCTATGCGTAAGTGAATGGAATCAAGGGTTGTGGTTGTGTCACTCTAAGTCTGGATAACAAAGCAGAGTCAGGCTTTGTTTGCAGATGCACAATGCATAAATTAATCTTTCATGAAGAAGAATATTTTGGTGTAATATACTTATTCCATAATTAAATAGGCCTTACTGTTCCAGAGAGCTTATGGTACAATGAGTTCCAGTACCAACTTATCCTGTGTTGCTTAAGATATCACGCTCCATAGATGAATCCTTATCCAATTGATATTTCACCTCTCACTATGTGGGCATAACAATTTTGCATATTTGGAATGGAGAATATGTGAGCCTCCAGATATGCTGGACTCTAAACCCTAGCAGGCCTAACTGGCATACTTAATAATCTTGGATGCAATTTCCAAGCCAAAGATCCCTGTTGTATCTCTTCCTTCATTAGTTCTCTCTCTTCTGAACTGTCTTTATAAGTGTGTTCTGTCAAACATTCTTAACAAGCTAAAAAGGAAAAGTGAATTCTCTGGAACAGTCTTGAATCCTGCACAAGTAGGTGGGCTTAATCTCATCCTCTTTTCTCAAAGAATTAGGGGTTCTGCTAGTGTCTAATACAGGTAGCAACACCTGGCCACAGGCACCGGACTTTCAAAAGTCTTACACTGAACCTCCATAGAATTTACCATGCATTCCCATTAACCAGAGTTGTGGGAGCTGCAGCCAAAAAAAAATCTAAGTCAGCAGAGGAGTCTTTCATACCTTACATGTGGGCCTTAGTAGCAACCACCATTTGCCTCAGAAGAAAGGCAAACACTCTCAGGATTGGGGGATTATGGATCAGATAGTTTTTGAGAGCCTAATGGGCACAGAAACTGTTGTTGCTAATAATAATCTTTGAACTACAGAACTGGAAGGAACCCTATGGATCACCCGAGTCTAGCTCCTGTCAAGGACCTATACTGGGACATTGAACTCCCAGCTCCTTGCTCCACAGCGAGATGCCTAAACCATTGAGCTATCCAGCAGTTCAAAATACACTGCTAGCTTGCCCCCAACTTGTGGCAACTCTGTGAATGAGTCATCTCTAAAATGTCCTGTCTTCAACTGCCCTGCTCAGCTGTTGTAAATTCAAGCCTGGGTCTTCCTTTAGGGAGACAATCCATCTCATATTTGCTCTCTCTCTCTCTCTCTCTCTCTCTCTCTCTCTCTCTTGCTGCCTTCCACCTTTTCCAGCATTATTGTATTTTCCAGAGAATTCTGCCTTCTCATACTGTGCTTGAAGTAGGATGGCTTAAATTTCATTGTTTCTGCCTTCAGGTTTAATTTTTCATACTGGCAGTCAAGGTTCATTGTTTCTGCCTTCAGGTTTAATTTTATCTAGGACTCACTTGGTTTTCATACTGGCAGTCAAGGCTTATCCACAAAGCTCTCCACCAGCACCGTATTTCAAATAAATCAGTGGTTTTTCCTGTCAGCTTTCTTTACTGTCCAGTTTTCAGAATCATATATCTTGGCCAGAAATACAAGAGCATATATGATCTTGGCCTGGGTCTCCAGTGACACATCCTTGCACTTGATGATCCTTTCTAATTCCTTAATTGCTGCCCTTCTGAGTCTCAGTCTTCTGATTTCTGGGCTGCAATCTCCTTTTGGATTGGTGATTGACTCAAGGTATACAAAATCTCTTAACTATTTTGATTTCTTCATTGTCAGCCTTAAAGTTGCATAGTTCTTCTATAGTTCTGATTCTGGTCTTCATGTTCAACTGCTTTGGCACTTTCTTCCTTCACTAAAAGTTGTTCCAAGTCATTGCTGCTTTCTGCCAGGAAAGATGGCGTTACAGTGGTGCCTCGCTTGACGACAATAATTCCAGCAAAATCGCTGTAGAAAGAAATCATTGTCAAGCGAGATAAAAAAGCCCATTGAAATGCATTGAAAACCGCTCAATGCGTTCCAATGGGCAAAATACCTTAGCGTTCAGCGAAAAATCTGCCGTAAATACAGCGCGGAGCCATTTTGAAAACCCGATGATCAGCTGTTTTGATCGTCGTAAAGTGAAAAATCGGTCCCCAAAGCAGGGAACTGATAATCGTCAAGCAGATTTTCCCTATTTAAACATTGTTTTGCAATCGCTTTTGCAATTGCAAAAACCTCATCATTAAGCGATTTCGTCATGGAGCGGGGTAATCGTTAAGCGGGGCACCACTGTATCTGCATATTTTAAATTGGCTTTCCGTATGATATGTTCTGTGTGCAGACTGAACCAGTAAGGGGACAACAGGCCACCTTGTCTAACACCTTTGCCTGTAAGAAACAATTTTGTTTCTCCATATTTTGTCGTAACAGTAATTCCATGTCCACAATATAGATTACACATCAGGACAATTACGTGCTGAGGCACACTTATCTTGTTTAAAACAACTCATAAGTTTCTCATGCTGCACACAGCCAGAGGCTTTGCTATCAAGCATAGACTGATCTTCTGAAAAAAGAAGACTTCCAGTCCCGTAACCCCTTGTAGCACCCCCTGGAACTTAACCAGTCCCAGCCATTTCCTTCTTCAAAGACAAATGGTGGTTCCTCTGGAGGCTTAACAATATGTGTGTGATGAAAAACCCCTCTGTGGACTTAGATTTCCTGGCTGCAGCTCCCAGAATTTTGGCCGAGTGATTTTTTTAAAAAAGTGAATTCCAATGGTTGCTGTGCAAGAAATGCAGAAGTCCCAAGCCTAGCTGGCCTAAGTTATCTACCTGCTGCCCACTTTTTTTTCTAAATTATTAATTATCTGCCTGAAAATCTAAGCTCACATATTGCCCAGCTGATTATTTTAAAATATTAATTTATAACTACAGTTGTACTATAGTTTCATGGTGATTGTTGTTGTTCTTTTGGTACGTATTTTTGTCCTTTGCTAGATTTAAGTGAATTGCACTGTAAGAAATCTGTACTTGCCCTAGTGGATGGACAACTCTGGGATATGTACAAGCCTTTGACCCACTCATGTGAGATCCAGTTCCTTACTTTTAAAGATGAAGATCCAGAAGAAGTGAACCAAGTATGTTTGTGTTGATTTTTTTCAGAATATTTTCTTCCAATTGTTAATAATAAAGGGAACTAATTATTCTTTCTCTGTCATGTTTTCCCATATCTTCCCGATTTTTCTACTAATGTTACTTAATCACACATTTGTGTACTACAGTTGCATTTGTTTTGCAACCAATTATGTAAACACTTCTCTTTTTAATCCATGGGTTGTTAAGAAATAGGACAGTTATGGAAGGCTATTTCTAGCAGGCTTTTGTACACATGGCTCTGTTCTAGAGGATGTCATGTTTTATAACAGTGGTTCCCAACCTTTTCTGAGTCGCGAACCGGTTGGGGGTGGGTGGGGTCCGTTCGTGGAGGAGCAGCCCCCCGTGCTTGAGGGTGGGTGGGAGTTGCTCGTAGCGGGGCGTGCTCACAAAGGGGTGGGGTGGAACATGCTCACACATATGCGGGAAGGGGCAGGGTGCACTCACGAAGGGGTGGGGTGCGCTCACGGAGGGGCGGGGCACCCGTGCATGTAGGTGGGGGGGGGGGGGGGGGCGCATATGGGGGGGGGAAGATCTGTCTCCGCAATCCGGTCCTGCCATGGCCACAGACTGGCACCAGGCCGCAGACCGGGGCTTGGGGACTCCTGTTTTATAACATTTATCACCAGTCAAACAAAATGTATAAAAGGTCTTTTGAACAGGGAGCTCTACGTGTTCCCTTCTCAATCCAAGAGTCTGCTTATGAAAGTTATGGTGGGGTGTTTGAAAAATAAAAATAAAAAGAAAGTCAGTAACGAACTTCATACTTGATATTTTAATTCTTTGAAGCTCGATTTTCAATTGAATTGAATGGTTTCTCATAACTTGACTTCAGAATAATATCTGTTTGACATTCTCGATTACAGGCTTATTGGCGCTCTTGTGCTATGATGTTGGGTTGTGTGTTAGAAGAGGCATTTAAAGATGAATACTTAGTCACTCTTGTTAAAGCTCCAGAGGTACCAGGTACATCATTTTTCTTTATAGGTGTCCCATTCTCAGAATAAGTTGAATTTTGCAGTGTATGTAGACATTTTAGGAATGTGGGTCTTGTTCAGAAATTTAGGTAGTAACAGTGGTAACGTTATTTATTTTTATGTTAACTATCACTGTATATTGCAGTATACAGTCCTGAAATTTAATTTCAGGCTGGATGAAGAAATACTGTTTCTTAGCTATTGTGAGTCAATTGTCAATCCACTATATCAAACAGAACCAAGTTCTAAAAATTTATTTGTGTGAAAATACCGTACTTTTCTCCACATTTACTTGCTTTGAATTTGCTATCAAATCGTATCAACTAGTGATCATCACTTAAGTCTTTTTTATTTCTAGTTCTATTAAATATCCTGGGATGTTGAACTATTTGTAAAAATAATCTTGCAGTTTCCCAAACAGAATTCTCAGGTAGCCTCTGTCTTGGAACTGACCATGTCCAGCTGATGTGTGTGAGGAGTTTCAACCCATGATTTCAGCCTGTTTCTACTAGGAAGAAATATATACATATATTAGTTTGCCATTTTTCTTTATGCTGTACGAAGCATATATTTACAAAGGGTCTCAGAGTGGCTTACAAGTTTTCCCGTATATAAAATGCCCCCATGTATAAGATGTGCCAGCTTTTCTAACCCAAAATTAAGAAATCAATATTTTAAACATAAAACAGAACACATTTTAATTTAGTAATTAGGTAACATTTACGTGCCAGTACTGTCATATTATGCATCACATTTTAACTTGATTCAGCCTCTGGGCTCAGAACACTTGGACATTACGAGTCCCTGTTGCATCTGCACACTGCCTACGTGCTCCACCTCCAGTGAGGTGTGTTCCAGTTCAGCATTAGTTGATGTGAGTTACATAAGGCTTCTGATTGGAGGAAGCTAAATCTCCTGACTGTAGGAAGGTAAGCCTCTTGATTGGAGGTAGCCTGTTTGCAGAGGCAAGGTATGGCCTGTTTTGTTCTCTTCTCAGCTTACTTCCATATATAAGATAACCCTCAAATTTTAGTCTAAAGATTTTAGACAAAAGTATTGTTTTATACATGGAAAATACAGTTTATTACAGTGTACTGTAGATAAAGCAAAAGCAAAACAGAACATGGGGAGAGCAGAATAAAATGCCTGTATACAATGATATGTGCAACCTCTGTTCCTACATGTTGAAATTATTTCTGAATTGGCATCAACATCTTTGCTTTTAAAATATCTCAAAGGCCTGAACAAACAAAACTTAACTGAAACATCTTGTTTGTGGATGACCCCCGTAGTCATTGGGGTTTTGGGAACAATATCAAGAAATTTCACACAGTCCTATAAATAGTTCCAGATCTGAGAAATAACACCATTAGAGCTACAAAAAGTGGCAAAATTAGGAATAGCTATTTAACAGATACTTAGGATTTTGGTTAAAACTTGTATCTGTTATAGAATACCACTCAGTGTTTTTATAGTTTTGATTAACTGTGCCTGGTTTTTTTACAACAACAACAACAACACTATGCTGTCAAGTCAATTCTAACTTCTGGTGACCTTTTTCCAGGGTTTTCTAGGTATGAAATAGATAGAAGTGGTTTACCATTCCCTTCTTCTGGGGGCACCCAGGGACTGTGCAGCTTGCTCAAGGCCACACAGGCTGGCTCTACTTGCAGGAAGCAGTGGGGGATTGAACTCTCAATCTTTGACTCTGAAGCCAGTTCCTAAATCACTGAGGCATCCAGCCTCTGCTGAAAGGAATATAAAGGTGGTGCTGGACAAACTTCCTTGGGAAATGAATTTGGGATATGGGGTTCAGCCAATGATAATATCCTTTCTTTACTCACCCTAATTAAGAATGTGGTGGAAGTCAGAACAGGACATCTAAAGGTGATAATATTCGACTTTTAGATTACATTCTTTTCTCACATGTTAGCCTTTGTTATAACAAAAGAGACTTCGACTTTCAAAGATACTTGTTTTTGTTGCTTTTTTCTGCACCTGTTCTAACTTTGTGGTATTCTTTTTGAGATGAGCAATGCTGTTGTTTTGTTTAATGGTATTTTAATACTGTAGGAAGAAACTTCATGTTGATTTCCAACAAAAGCACCAGCTGTGTTTTAAAAAACTCTACTCGAGTTCAAAAATATTTATTTTGTTTTTGACTTACTTTGTGCAGTGCTATCGGGAGCTTTCTGCTATGATGTCATCTTGGATAGCCGACTCGATGACTGGAAGCCAACAGAGGTAAACATAATGTTGATTCATCAAGCTATTTCTACTGAGGCTTTTCTCTGAGGAGAATCACTACAAAATACTACTCAAGGGTATGGACATACTGTTCAGTATAGAGATCTACTTAGCTTTGTGCTGCTATACTGCATTTCCTGTAATAAGGATGGGGAAGGTGTGGTCCTGCAGATGTTGTTGAATTGCGCCTCCCTTCAGCACCAGCCAGCATAGCCAGTGATCCAGAGGTTATGGGAAATACCACACATAAACATCTGAAACATCTGAATTTCCCTTCCTTGTTCTATAGTAAAGAATGGGTCACATTAAAATATTTTTGGTAACTAAAGGATGCTTGAGAAACTTGATATTTGGGCATTCCTTGGAAGACCATAACCTGATCCACAGTACTCAATTGTTATTTGAACTGGAATGTTTTATATTTTGCACTTGTTCAGATTTTACAGTGCAGTTCTTGGGTGCAGTTCACAAAAACACATTGAAATTAATCTTTATAAATTACAAATCAGTCTTTATCAGTTGAGATTAACCTGCTCAGGGAATAGAAGAGATAATACAAAAGCCTTTGTGAAGTGCAATCCATAAGTGAAATTCCAGACTGCTTACTTTTTCATGATTTACTATAAATGTGATGAGTTGTATAATTTTCCAGTCTGTCAAATTATAAAGCAATATGAGGTGAGTGAAATGTGGTCTGTGGACTGCATGCAACTGCTTCAAGGACATTTGCAGCTCCGATGGCTAACCCTAGAGCCCCCCACTCCCTGCTGTTTCACTTTTTTAAAGTGAAAAATGAATTTCTTCGCATCCCGAGCCCTCTAGGAGTGACTTCTTTGGGAGGGGGTCAGGAGCAGGCATCTCTTTGGGCAGTTCCAATTTTGTTTTCTTTTATTTCCTTCTATTTCTGGGCAGCATGTGGTAGGTTCCAAAAATTTGGTGTCCCAGATCTGCCACTAGGCTTCGGACCCCCATAGTTCTTGGGTCTTCAGCCCCCAGAATTCAACAGGAATTCCCACAGCCAAAATTCTGGGAGCTTAAATCAAATCGGAGTCCTGTCCAATCTTTTCAAGTTCTTATCTGTGATTAATCAAGGCTCTGGCAGCCATCTTTGTTCTGTGGAGAAGACGGAAAGTTGTTGAGTGGGACTAAGCTTTTTGGGAGCTACAAGGAATTGGGTGTCTGGCAATTTTTTAAGAAGCATCCTGTGCACAGACTGTCAAACTGTTCATTCTTTGCAGCTCCCACTGAGCTCCCACCCATCAGTTTCCTCTGTCTTTTCCACTGGACAAAAATGGCTGCTGGACCCTTTATTAACCATTGCTAAGAACTTAAAAACATATGTTAGGATTTTGATTTCTTTATGATAGTTCCCAGAATCCTGGCTGAAGGAATTACCGCTGAATTCTTGGGGCTGAAGATCAAGAAATATGAATGTCTCCTGCCTGCTTGCCATAAATGACCACTTCGATATAAAGTATTTCAGCTAGGGCAAAAATAGGAACAATTGATATTTATTCTTTTCCTTTCAGTTTGGAACTAGACTTAGTAACGCATGGAGTAGCCTTGCTGAAATCAATAGGCATTAAGTTGTCATAATACCATTTAGCTTATGCTAAATATGACTGAGTCTAATCAGTCATCTGCACCTTATAGTCTTGCATTAACTAAGAGCAAAACAGAGACAAAGCTATCCTAACTATATTAGTTTTCGAAGCCCACTGGAGGATGGTGCTGAATTCTTGCAGACTTGTGAATTTAAGCTACCTGATGTATTAGAAACCTACATTGTTCATCTTGTTGATCTGTGCATGATACATGTTTTTTTTCTCCTAAGGAAAGCCTCCGTTCTTTTACAAAAGATGTTTATAAACTAATTCAGAAAGACCTGCCATTCGAACCACTGGATGTTGACCCAAAAGTGGCACGTGAAATATTTAAGCATAACAAGTCAGTATTAACATATTGTCAGATGAAAAATATTGTTTACAAACAACTATATATTTCACAGCACAACTTTTAGATAAAACTTAAATTGATCAGCCAGAATCATACTGATTAATTATCCTTGCACAAGTGCACTGGCATGAATTGCAGTGCCAGTTGTCACTACGTAACAAGCTATCACTTGTGTTTCTCATTGTATACCAGATCACAAGACCAGTATGTGACAAGGAATACAGGTAGTGGCTTTTTAATTGGTAATGATTAGTTGTAATTATCTGTAGCTTACACCATTGCATCTATGCAGGCATAATCAAGCAATACAATTCTGGCAAGTGTTTTCCATTTTTTCCCATTAGTTTTATAAAACATGTTACAGTGAATGTACTAACATTAAACTACAGTACGAAGTTATATGTTCAGTAAAAATTGTATAATTATTTGGATTAGTTGCATTCATATTTACTTAATAGGATGCTAATATAGACGCTTTATGGCACTGAAGTGTGTTACAGATAAAGGAAACAGGAACAATTTCAGGTACAGGATTCATTAAAACGTGTAGCTTCTGGTGCATAGTAAGATAATAGGCATTGATATACTACAGAGATTTGCAGTGAGAATAAATATATGCATTGTTTGGGAATATCACTGTGCTTTAGCTTGAATGAAGCTCTGGCTGCACAGAATGACTTATCTCTTACTTATCTGTTTCCTATTGATTTGGATGGTAATGAAAGGAAGGCATTCAACTGGTACTAAGTAAGGCCTGGCAAGAGGAATATCAGTCCCTGAAAGAGATGCTTTTAGGACAGACATGGAGAATCACCGTAATCAAGATCTTTTGGAGCATGGCTTTCAAAGTCCTTTACCATTGACTGGCTGAAAACTTGTTGCTTTGTTATGCATGCAGAAGGCAAGTGGCTTCAGCTGCTTCTAGCTGGCAATTAATGAGTTGCTCCTGAGATTCTTTGGGGTGCCCACTGGCTTGGTATATACTTGAGAATCCCAGTAGGAACTCGCTAATTGCCAGCTGGAATGCACCGAAAGTTACACCAATTGCCTTTGACATCCATAGGAGAGCAATAAGATTTCAGTCAGTGTATAGTTGAGGCACTAGAAATTGAAATCTAAAACGTCCAGAGGACCAAAAGTTCCTCACTACTGCCACAAGGAAGAGGGCACAAAGAAAAACCTTACATTGGCACTGGCAATTGCAAAGTAAGACTGGAACATACGGTCATGAATATACAAAAGAGAGTGGCATATCAGTTATGTGTGTTCTATCTGAATTGGCTCTCTTATGTTGTATACCTTGTGATGATTAGCTGTGAATTTATTTCCTTGTGTTCAAGGTACAAACTGGAAGAAATTGAGCAAAAAGCTTCACAAAATTCAGAAGGAAAAATACAGTTGCAAAGGTGAGTAAAATCCATGTGCCTCTTGTTCTATACAGTGGTGCCTCACTTAACGAGATAATCGTTCCAGCGAAATCAATGTAGAGCGAAATTCTCGTTAAGCGAAATAAAAAATCCCATTGAAACCCCGTTCAGTGTGTTCCAATGGGCTGAAAAACTCACTCTCCAGCGAAGATCCTCCATGGGGCGGCCATTTCTGGTGCCTGTAAAGTGAGGAATCCATCCAAAAACACAGCGGGGAGCCATTTTGAATCCACCGATCAGCTGTTTTAAAACGTCGTAATGCGCAGAATCGGTTCCGGAAGCAGGGAACCAATCGTCGCAAAGCGGATTTTGCTTATTAAAACATTGTTTGCGATCACAAAAGCGTCATACAGTGGTTTCGTCATTTAACGAGGCAGTTGTTAAGCGAGGCACCACTGTAGCATTCTTTCTAATTGATCCACTCTCATCAGGTAATAAAATACAGTAGTTTGAACTTCAGCTACAAATGGGCAGCATTCAGTCTTATTCCATTTGCATGGAGAGCAATAATCAAGTAAGGAGCCAGTTTAAAAAGTATCAGATGCCTCTTCCTGTGCTTTTTTTTTTTTTTAAAAAAAGATTGTGTCAAGTGTTATAGTATATACTGATGCATTAATGGTTGTTGAAACAGTTCATGTTAGTGGTCTATCAGCTAGTCTGATCCTGTACTAGAACTCATGAGACTTAATATAAGCATCTGAACTTTTGATGCTTGTTCCTAGCTTGTTCTGTGACTTAAAACTGAGCCACACTTACCAGTGCAGTGCTGTGCCAAAATGGTCTAAATTCCACTTTCATCCACCCTAAATATAGAGCATTTTTCCTCTCATAGCAGTTTTGCACACACCTTGGTGAAATGGTACAGATCTGTATAAAGTTGAACAGGTGGGATTGTCATCTTCTGGAGTAACTAAACCTATATTCCTCTGGAATGCAAGTTTTAACGTATTACTGAAAGTGCAGTGAAGAGGAGCAACATCTGAAATCGGAAGGCAGATGGTTTGGCTTTTCTTCCTGAGTATGTGGGAGATTATTAGTTTGTTGCCTTTTTAACAGGGGCAGGTTTTGGCTAACTTCTGGGCTGCCACAGATGTGGGAACAATGGTAATGGATGGATATAAGAATACTTTTTGTAAAGATTCTCAAGTGCCTACAAGTGGTAATGTTAACAAAAATTGAACCCTTAACATTTGAGCTCCTTTCTAGAGGTATTTAGGAGCTTTTGCATTCCGTTGGAGGTCTTGATATGAGTGAGCTGAATATGTCCCAGATCTTGGCTCCTATGTCTTACTCTGTCCACTGTCCATTCCAAGCACTTGAGAGATTGCCAAGAGTAGTGTGGGAAGTGAGGGGTGCTGCGGTGGAGATTGGTTAACTATTATTGTTTGCAGAAGCGCTGCTGGAAAGGGGATCCCAAGAGAACTTCAGATTTTGAAATGGGAGAGGGATAATTAAATGAAATATCACAGGTGATGGCCAATATCTTTTTTTTAAAAAATCTATTTAGAAGTGTTTTGAAAACAATTGACTATTGATGTAACTAACTGTCAAGGATAACTGTCAAGGATAACTATTTGTAGTTCTAAGGAAATCCTGTTTTTCAGAGAAATGGCAAGTTTTATATTTGTGTAATATTATTAATTTTTGTTGTTTGTTTGTTTTACTTTGAATCAGATTTGGTCACTTTGTAGACATTACTGAAGGCCCTCATATTCCCAGAACTAGCTTTTGCCACCAGTATGAGGTGACAGCAGGTTATAATCTTAAAAGCAGTCAGCCTGAATTAATACGAAGATTCCAGGGTCTCTCTGTTCCAGTTGCCTTAAAGGTTAGTAATCTATTAATTTAACAGTGTTTATGATAAAGATAAGAGACGTGTAATATGTTTGTTGTGCATAGTTTATATATACCCCACCCCATGACTCCACAGTATTGGGAGAAATAGTGCCTGTTTAATATTTTGTAAGTCCTCTCACACTTTAGAGGTGGAATATGAACAAACTTAATAATGGGTAGTCTGTAGATGATGGAAAGAAAAATGAACAAAACTCAAACTTCTGCTACCTTTCCCTTTGGTCTTGATTTAAAATGTTTTCATTCTATGTTGAGATATAGGATCATACAGAAAGATCTGATTTTGTGTGTCCTCTGCTGTGAAATGGGTTTGTTAAGTAATTTCTGGTTCTAATAGGGTAATATAATCCCTTTTATTCCAGTGTGGATTAGATTTTTTTAAGAAATAGTCTGTTTAAAGGGAATATGTCTGTTTAAACTTGTGTTGGGTTTGCGAGTCTTTCTTTGCATGAGTTAGTGATTCAGTACACTTCTGCCTTCAACAATGCTGGGGTTAGGGGTATGGGACCTCCCTGTAGTTCAAAATCTGTGTATAACTCTTATACCCACAAAACATAACTGCAAAGCATGAATCTCACACACACACACACACACACAGAGAGAGAGAGAGAGAGAGAGAGAGAGAGAGAGAGAGCAGGTCTCTCTATATAGGGATTCTCTTAATAGCATTGACATTCCTTTCCAAACAATTCCATCTGCAATAAGCTTAAAAAATCCTTGTGACCCCTGATCCATATGCTGAATTAGAAATGTTGTGTTTGGAGGCAAGTAGACCACTTTGATGCCTTAGGTGTTGAACTCATGCCCCCGATTCATTCCTTTCCAAACAATTCCATCTGCAATAAGCTTAAAAAATCCTTGTGACCCCTGATCCATATGCTGAATTAGAAATGTTGTGTTTGGAGGCAAGTAGACCACTTTGATGCCTTAGGTGTTCAACTCATGCCCCCGATTCTGAGTGGCCAGTGACACAGTATTTATTTATTTGTTTGTTTGTTTATTTATTTATTTATTTATTTATTTATTTATTTATTTATTTATTTATTTATTAGAATATCTGTTTAATGAAAGGAAATAACTGTATAACCAAAACTGTGTTGTTCAGACCAATGCAATTCAAGGGGGAAGTGTATACTCTTGCTGAATTTACTGTAATGATAGAGTTGTAGTAAAACATTTTAAATTGCCAATTTATGAATTATTGTAGTTTTCAAAAAATCCTTTAACACTATAATTAATATAGGTTATTAATTTGCAACAATAGCTTTCTGTTCTAGTGTGGGAAACTACCCTGTCATTGCTGAAGTGAATTGGAAAAATTGTTATACAGTGGGGTCTCGACTTACGAACTTAATCCGTATTGGAAGGCAGTTCTCAGGTCGAAAAGTTTTTAAGTGGAATCTGCATTTCCCATAGGAATGCATTGAAAACCATTTAATCCGTATCTGCTCTTTTCGTCCATAGAAACTAATGGGAAGCTGCTATTCTGCCTTCTGCCACTAGAGGGGGATATTTTTTTCTTTTTTCCTTCTAACCTAAGATGACTTAGCTTTAAAAAAAAGGGAAAAAAAGAGTTCGTAACTCGAATCTAAGTTCGTAAGTCGAGTCCATATATTCCTATGAGAGCAGTTCGTAAGTCGAAATGTTCATATGTCGAGCCGTTCGTAAGTCGAGACCCCACTGTACTGGTTGTGTGTGTGCAGACTCTGTAATGACAAGCGCCTGAAGCAATCTCTATCTCTGCATATTAGGATAATTCTATTAAAAGCATTTCCATGTAGTTAAAAATGATTTTGAATACTGCAAAACCGACAGAAGGTCTTATAAAAACAATAGTCCACCTAACAGGGTGGTCAAATTACTAGCATATAAGAAGTCAAATTAAAATGGCTATTTTGCTATATAATTCACTGCATGTTTTCATATTCTAGCTTCATCATTCTGTATGGCACAGACTGTGGGAAAGAGCTAAGAAACCAGTAAGTCTGAACCTCAGAGAACAACCCTTAAATCTGTAAAACTAATTTTTCTATCATATAATGAAAGCTATAACATGTAGTAGAAGTCTTAAACAGTGAGGTATAGGGTTGAATGTGAATTAGATGTAAGCCATCTGCTCTGGAATTCTGAACTTTTGATCGATGGAGTAACATGTTATGCATCACAGTGTGAATATTGCTAGGATGTGCTTGGGTTGCTAAGGCATGACAGTAACACTTTTCTATGCCTATTTGAATGGTTTCTGGTCTTTTGGTTCCAGAGTTCTAAAAATATAATGGTGGCAATCTTTCCAGACTTCTCCAATTCTGATGTCAATATCAGCTTCTGTGATGATATCCCTAGTGTCACATTTTGGATATCTTTGATGACACTGTGTGGTATCTTTATCTAGTGTAGTAAATATCTGTTACTAAAGGAGAGATAGCTAAGTTCCTACCATACTGTATGCCTAATTTGGTGGTGATTGCAGGTATGTTGGTGTTGGCTTGATTGCCTTGGCCAAGCTCTGGCATTATTTAAAGCAGCAAATAAAATTTCCAGCTAACAACAAAAACAATGTCCCAGCCTCTGATTCTAGCCACTGATTGATAATTAATGTAAAGCTCTCCTTTCTGGATGTAAAGAAAATATGGTTAGTAAATGCATAAACCCAAATTACATTCCTTTTGTTCTATGGCTCATTTCAAGTGAGTATATAGTAGTTTCTAGCTTCACACCTCACCAGAGCACCTAACCTTATTGTCAATAGCCATGACTGACACTGAAGCAACCCCAGGTTGACAGTGCTTCTTCTTTCCTGAAGAACCTTGCATTACTATCTTCCAAACTAAACTTCTTACCTCTTTTTACCTCCCAGGTAAAGGTTTTGTTATGCATCTCCCCATTCCACCTTACAATTCTTCCTTAATTGTACTGTGATTGTGGTTATCTGAGACAGGAGCTGTCTGTGCTTTCACTAGCTGTATCTGCTCTTGTGTGCTGTCTTACTGACTTCTTGGCTATTATGCCCCCTTCTGCTGATCTTCTGCAGGGGAAGGGCCTACCCAGTTGCATCCATGTATGAATGACTGCCAGCTGCCCCCTTGTAATAAATGGAAGCAGCAGCCCTAATACTTTTCGCTTGCTGTCTTTATGTATTGTAATGACCAACCTGGTAATCTATATAAATATAAGCTCTTTGTATCTTTGGCTGTTTAAGTGTCTTCATCTGTTTGCCTGAACCCAGCTTGTAAGAAGTGTCCCCTTTGATGCAGAAAGAGGAAAGAGAGGAGGGCAGGCAATACGAGTATACCTTTCGGCACATAAAATAAAAGGTCTAGAAACAACTGAATTGTGCCTGATGGTTGGCACAGTATGTGGAAGTTCTGGAATTGAACTGTAAAGGTGATGGAATTGGCAATGTAATATGATGGAGAAGTGTTGTTCAGTAGTTTGAATTGTTGACATGATGTCAACAATTAACATGTTGACATGATGTCAACAATTCAGTATTTAATTCTTAATACAGTGGTGCCTCGCTTAGCGACGTTAATCTGTGCAGGAAAAAATGTCGCTAAGCTATTTCATCGCTAAGTGAGTTTAAAACGCCCATAGAAACGCATTAAAACGTGTTTAATGTGTTCCTATGGGCTTAAAAACTCACCTTATGCGAAAATCCTCCATAGGGGCGGCCATTTTTGGTGCCTCTAAAGCGAGGCAACACAGCGGGCAGCCGTTTTGAAAACGCTTTAATCTGTGCAGGAAAAAATGTCGCTAAGCTATTTCATCGCTAAGTGAGTTTAAAACGCCCATAGAAACGCATTAAAACGTGTTTAATGTGTTCCTATGGGCTTAAAAACTCACCTTATGCGAAAATCCTCCATAGGGGCGGCCATTTTTGGTGCCTCTAAAGCGAGGCAACACAGCGGGCAGCCGTTTTGAAAACGCTGATCAGCTGTGGGAAAATGGGGCCTTTGGGATGAGCGTGGGGGAGCACTCC